TCTGTACTCTCACTTGACGTGTGGATGCTGTGATTAGAGAACTGAATTTTTAGTTTCATTTAAATTGAATTTAAATTTATTATAAATAACCACAGGTGGTTTTGACTACCATATTGGACCATGCATCTCTAGATGTCAGGAAAGGCTGAAAATTACATTATCTCATAAAATCCAGGTAATGAATTAAAAGAGTCTGTATTAAAGAAGTTTGTATAAATGTAACACTTTCCTGTTTTTTACACATTCCAAATCACAAGGGGGGTGGGAGGGAAAAAGGACACTTATGAACAGTCTTTTCCAAGGAATCAAAGAAGGAGCATGTTATAATGGAACTGCTGTGTCCATCCTTTCTTAGGATTTATTCTGCCAGCTCCATTCTAGCAGAAATAACACTGCATAATAACACCGAAGGAGGCACAATATAACTTGAGCATTATATGCTGTCAACATGAAATTCAGCTTTAAACTTTACATTTACTGGAAAAAAAACACCAACTCTCCTTACCCTTTTCCTGATGAGGGTCCAATTCACGTCTTAAATTCCATTTACATAACACTGAGGCACCTAGTACATAGACGGGCATCTGGTAGGAAAGACCATTATGTAAAAAATATATCCATCCCTCCAACTATTCATCTATCTATCCAACCATCTGTCCATCTATCCATCCATCCATCCATCCATCCATCCATCCATCCACTTATCTTTCTATCTATCCACCCATCTATTTATCCCCCGAATCTATTTACTGACTCACAAAGAATAACTTTTCTCTCATTTACCCAAATAATGAGAGCTTAATAGAGAGGAACAGATAAGAAGCAGGTGACTATGTGATGCAATTTTAAGAGTATGCTTTCAGATGAATTCCAAAATAGGGGGAAGAATAATAAGAATGAGAAGAAAAATATGTATTAATTAACTATAATTTTAATTAATCAAGATTTATTGATCACCCATTTGGTGATCAATAAGGAACCATGTGAGGCACTGTGGAAGATATAAGAATATATAAGAAATCTCTGCCCTCGATATTCTTAATAATCTACTTGAAAAGTTAAAAAAATGAATATGTGAGAGGTTAAAAAAAGACAAATGAGTGAAACACTTCAAAACAGCAAGATGAAAGGTGTCAACAAGATAATTCATGTCTCAGATAATAAGCCTCATTTTTAGAAGAGGTTTAAGAAATTTGGGCTAGAATGGTCCAACTTAGGGCTTTCAGGAGGAGGCTTTCAGGAGGAGGCTTTAGAATCTATCATTTAGATTCCAAATGATAAGCAAGATGACAGACTAAAAAACAAAAACATAAGATTTTAAAACTTGGATGGACCTTTGAAATAATCTAGTTTAACTATATTATTTTATAAATTATTCAATTAAGGTCAGAGAGTTAAGGAACTTGGTCTGACTCCCTCTTATAGGTAGTAATGGCAGAAAAAAGCCTGATATGCAGGGCTACTGATGCCCATTCCAAGCCATATATCACATGGGATGGGGAGCCAAGTCTTCTAATTTAGGAAAGGAGAAGAATTCTGAAGAGTGGCAGGACACAGCATAGACAAGGAAGCAGAGCCAAGAATGTGTCAGCGTAACCCATGTCCAAAGCTATCAGCGTGTATGTCAAGGGAAGAAAGGCATGGAAGACGAGGCGGGAACCAATACGTAGGCACTTGAATGGAAATCTGCAATTGGTTGGCCATGTGAAAGCCAGAATTCTGGTTTCTGGAGCTGTCTTGAAGTCTCCCTTTGACACAGTGGTAGCAGTAGAAACTTTTCTAGAAAAATGTTATTCTTTTCATATTAACAAGGACTCAAGTTCACCTGGGGAAGGGAGGACTGCAGAGGGGAGGTTGGAATGAGTACTGGCATTGTTGGCATTGCTGGTCAACCTATAGGGGGCAGAGATGGATGATTATTGCTGCTCCTCTTCACACCTCAGAAACGCTGATTTAGTAGATTTAGGAAGGGGACGAAGAATCTGCATATTTTTCAAGCTCCTCAATTATTGATGCTCATACAGTTTGGAGGGTCTTCTGGTTCACCTTTTACCAATCTATCAACTACAGACTACCAGTATGGAAAACTCATGGACAATATTTACTAAATATAATATATATCTCCTATGATCGAGCAATTCAACTCTCAGGCATATACCCAAGAGAAATAAACAGTTACGTACCACAAAACACATGAATAGGAATATCCAGAGCAGGTTATTACCAACCCCAAATTGGAAAATACCCAATGTCCATTAGTATTAGAATGGATAAATAAATTGAGGTATATTCATATAATGGAATACTATACAACAATTTAAAAAAACCATTAATATGTGCATCAAAGTGGATGCTATCACAAACACAATGATAATCATAAGAAGTATGATTTCACTTACAGAAGATTAAAGAACTGGCAGAAATAATCTATGGTAATTGAACTCAGAATTGTGGTTGCTTCTCTGTGGGGATGGGTATTAACTGGAAAAGGGCATAAACGAAACTCCGGTGGTGCTGGAACTGTTCTATATCTCCATTTGGGTGGTGGTTGTGTTGTTATATAGACATCTGTGAAAAATATATTGAACTGTACGCTTGTTCAGTTTACTATGTATACGTAGATTATACCTCATTCAGAAAAAATATATAGATATTGTGTATGTGTGGAGATAGATAGATAGATAGATAGATACACACACACACACACACACACACCAAGGACGGCCAAAAAAAGTGTATACAAGTGGACACTTTGGTCAATGTTGCTCAAGCAGTAGTTCACCATCATCAGGAGTGTCTGGACACTGATGGGAACCACTTTGAGCACCTCTTGTCATTGCAGAAGTCAAACGTGACTTGTATTAATCTTTTGTTATCGGTATATATTGAGTATTAAAATTTTAATAGTTTTTTCCTTTCTTAAAATGTATACATTTTTTGGCTATATAGATACACATTGGCCTGCGAATCTCATGAGGTTTTTATAGGGCACCAACAACTTTTTAAAATGAGTTAAATAGGCAAGTACAGTCTTACATTATTTAAGTAGCTCAATCCCTATTCTTGTTGAAATTGGTTAGATGCACTACCTGTCATTCAGGTGATCCATCAGCCTTTTTAAGCCTTAGCAAAACACAAAAAGTTAGTTCCATGGAAGCTGATAGTAATTTCTGAACTTGGGAAGGACACGCAGTAACTATAAACTCACTGAGAACACACCAGAGCTGCCAAAGTGTGCAACCCGGCTTCTGAAGGCGCCTTTCTGCTGATGGTGAATTTGGTCTGCTTTGTAACTCCAGAGAGGAGTTCCATGCAGCTGCATCTTTACACCCCACGCCCTCACTTTCCTCTCTGCGCACCCTTCCCCCAAGAAGACAGTAAACACCATCTGTACCATTGCACTCACCAACCCGGAAACTAAAATCTCATCTTCCCATCAAGAAAATTCCCCTCATCCTGAGGTGCCCTCGACCGTTGGTAAACAGCCCCAGACCTTCCGTCAGCTCCAAAGGTTGCCTGTCCTGAATCAACCTGTGAAATGGCGTGTGGTCAGTAGGGCCTGGTGGGCAAATGTTCAGGGTCACAGCAGGTGGAGGCGAGAGGCTGAGAAACCCTGTCCAGCCGGTGTTCCCTGCAAACCTCCTTTCAGGGCTGCTCGTTTTTAATCTTTGAAAACGTCTTGTGTGCTGAGCAGTGTACTTCAGGCAGCTAAGTATAAACACATGTCTACAAATACTGATAACACTATCTTTATTTGTTCATTACTCAACAAAGCCAGATCACCTGGGGACTGTTTGCTCCTCTACAAAATGAGACTCCAGCACCACATGTATTAAAATGTGGGACATTTTCTTCAGAGTATAAACTTTCAAGAGCTGCTTCTACGCCCTTCCTGGTACACTTTCAAATCCTTAGGAATCTTTAACACCACAGCATACAGTTGATTTTAAAATAAAAATGTATGGTCTCTGGCTCATTGCACCAGTTTTTCTTAGTTTGACCATCTGGTCTATGATGTGTCTGGAGTTTATTCATTACTGTATCCAGTTCATAGAGCTCAGAGGCACATAAGATACATTCAGCAGCCTGTGTGAACAACCGGAAGATATTTCCTGCCTGGTTAATTCAAGCAGGTACTTTTGACGAGATAGACGCTGATAAATATTCAAAGAATGATTATGGATTTTTATGAATGAATAAATATGAAATTTAAGCAATAGGTTCACACAAGAAATGCAGTTGACAAATATGTATATTTCCCAGAACAGAACACTTACTGACTCCTTCCCGTACCCCCAAAACCTCAAAAGCACTGCATATGGAAGTACATCAACAAAGATATTTAAATTCAAAAATCAACCTTGAATGGAGCTTTGTCAAGACAAAAAAAATCCAATAATGCATGATTTCACTTAAGAGGTACTTAGAAAAACCAGCACACAAACTGCTCAGTTAGAGAGAGCCAAATACAAAATCAGCTGTGAGAAAAGTTAAGCTGAGAAAAATGAATTTCAAAGAAACGCCACTTATTTTCTCCTCTTGGTTATTTCTGAAAGAATACTTTGAAGAAGAAATGCAGTGGGCCTTTTCTGTTCTCTGAAGATTCTGAATTGCCTCTAAGAAACATTTGCCTGGGGTTTAAACTCTATTAGTTGTGATTTTTTTTCTCACCAGTCAATTAATTTTGCAGGGAGGGACAAGTTCGGAAAAAGCCAGGCTAAACCCATTCGTCTCCAGAAAATGCACCTCCATCTTATGCTGAGATTTTTTTTTCCCCATCATTTGTCCTCATTTTTCCCTGCCATCCATTTACTTTTCTTTCTTGAACTAATATGTCAAACTGAAGAAGCAATGCCCAGAACTAAAACATGCCTGGAAGGGAATCTGAGTTTGAGTAAAACTTGCCTTCGTGCAAACAGCTCGCCTGTCCTGATGTGGTAGCTCATTTACCGAGGCACCCGTCACCCTTAGAGAGAGTGTAACTTTCCTCCAGAACTTACCTGTCTGCCGAGAGAGCTGTGAGTGTGAAGACAGACACCCCCACCGAGGTAAGCTGTATAAAGGGGATCAGTTTGCAGCCAGTCCTGCCAAACAGCCATCTGTCGGCCAGGTAGCGGCTGGCATCCACGGGAGCACACGTTACCAGGAGGAGCAGGTCTCCCAAAGCCAGACTGGAGATGAACAGGTTTGGCACGTTGCGCATGGACTTCACGGTACAGAAGACCTTGATCAGGGTGATGTTGCCAATGAGACCTATCAGAATGATGACCCCATAGATCGCAGGGATGACATAGAGGATCCCCGGGTAGAACCGGTCCTCGCTTGTGGGCAGATCCATACTGTGATTGGAGACATTGCAGTGCATGAAATGGTCCAAGTTCAGAAGCAAGCAGTCATTTAGAGCCATCCTCTAGATGCTTTCGCACTGAAATAGTGCCCTTAGATGCTGTTTCTTAACTTTTGATTCTGCAGTTGGGTGAAGATGAGGAGAAAATCTCTGCTGGGCTCTTTATCTTCTTTCACCAAAATACTCTGAGTACATATATACTACGGCATTCAAAATTGTCTGTCACTATTTAAATGCTGGTGCTGCTCCGGTCTTCACATGACCAAGGCAACACATCTCTACAGTCAATAAGTTAACCAACAAAACAACAAACTCAGTAAAAATAAAAAAGGGGGCGGGGGCTTAGAATGAAACCCACTCTGTATTGATTCTTTCTACCTCCATTCTAGTCTGAGCCTCCCTGGCTGCTGTTAACTAAGAACTTTTGGCTTGCTATTTTCACACGGCATTTCCTGTCTTTCCTGATATTTAGAACCTGGAGTTTTAAAGTGGGTCGAAAAAAACTGCACTGAGAAAGCCTCAAATCCTATAGGCAGGATGCTTTGCACGTCACCGCCTTCACTAGCAAACAGCAGCTCGGCTGAACTGAGGCTGTGAAGAGGAAACAGGGCTACTTATAGACAGAGAATGCCAGCCCCCTGCTGGACACTTCAATCACTGCCCAGTCACCTGCTCTCCTCAGATGAGAACCCACCAGCCGGCTGCGGTTCCTATGCCCAGCCGGCTCTGACAGGTACCTGTGGCTTCTCATGTAAGATTCAGCACCTATGATAGGTAGTTCATGAGTGTTGCTAGCACTCGGCAGAGGCACTGCAAATCTTTCTGATCTTTCTGATGCTCTGCCCATGAATCTGGATGGGACTCACAGCCCATTTCTTCATCTTTGCCAATACATTAGAATGACATGTGAAGGTTGCTATAAAATGGGGTGGGTCTCTGAATTAAATGCACGCAGATGCATTGGCTGTCCACGTGTGAGCTGTCCCACTGCTTCTTTGAACGGGGATACGACTGAGGAAAAATAGGCACCGGACCCGTGTTAAACCTTCAGCTACTGACCTCTGAAAACAAGAAGCAGAACACACACCTGCTCTTTCCTATAGGTTTGCAGGCCACTCTCGTTCCCTTTACCAGGAGAAAGCAAATCGGGAGCCAGATGTATGTATCTTTACCTTTCGAAGATCAGTGGTCTTTTCCAGAAAAATCGGTCTTTTCTCATTGGATCTGAAAAATGACACGAACTGGCATTTTGACGCAGTTATTTGCACTTCTGTACTGAATGCTTGCCATGTTTTTAAAGCCAATTTCCTTGTAAGCCCTCAGTGGAAAAATGAACTGTAAAGCAGTTACAGATAGAATAGCAAGGAATTTGAGAGTGGAAGGAAATAACATAGAGTTAATGGGGTTCCAGGGGAGGCTTTATTGAGGAGATACTGTTAGATTTGAGCTTAGATCTTTAGCCAACAACTCATAAATACATTACAAGGGTGTGTCTTCAGGCCTTCTGTGGAGCCAGCTCTTCCAGGTACATCACAGGAAGCCAGTTTACTAACGGGCGTTGCCATTGAAGGTTTGTTTTTTCAGGGTCCATAAGGAATAAAGAAGCTTGCACTTGTCGCCGCCGAGCCAGGGCCCAGGAAGAAAGCTTCCAACTGTGTTGTCATGGAAATTTTCAGCGGCCGGTTACAACACCGAGAATGTTGCCATGCTCCTTCCATAAATCTAAAGGGCTTCTGCTCCTCTCAGCCAGCAGTAGAGAGTCTGATGCTGCGTGCCTGCAGGGGGAAGAGCTTCTCAGTGGAGCTCAGTATCGCCCGTTAGGAGTCAATAACCATTGGCGTAGTGGTTTGGATTAGTTACTAGCAGGATATCTTAATAAAGCAGTATATGGGCTCTGTGCCTAAATCCTGGCTCCCTCATGTATCACCGCGGCAAGTTATTCGGTGTATTAAGCTTCAAGCTCCTCATCTGTAACGTGGGAATAATTTGTGAAGTTAAACGAAATTATCCATGTTAAGATGTCGTAATATTTGGCACATACTAAGTGCTCAATTAATATTAGCTGCTGCTACTTCTATAACTATTATTATTGTTGTGATAGAGAGAGATTTTTGTTGTGATTTTACTTTAGAAAAGCTCAGTAAGTTCAGAAGAAAAATTGACCTCAGATCAGTTGGCAAAAAAGTCCTACTCATACCAGTGAATCAGCGACTCCTCCATTTACTTTAAAGACATTTATCAAACATCTACCAGCTTCCAGGCACTGTGGAAGAGCTTGAGAAAAATAACATGAAGATACATGTTATTATAAGACCCATCATGATCCCAGCTAATGAAACTCATAGCCTGAGGACAAGTTTCCAAAAAAGAAGGGTTTTCACGTAGATCAGCGGTTCTCAACCTTCCTAATGCCATGACCCCTTAATACAGTTCCTCATGTTGTGGTGACCCCCAAGCATAAAATTATTTTCGTTGCTACTCTATAACTGTAATTTTGCTACTGTTATGAATCATAATGTAAATATCTTTTTGTTTTCCGATGGTCTTAGGCGACCCCTGTGAAAGGGTCATTCGACCCCCAAAGGGGTCGCGACCCACAGGTTGAGAACCGCTGAGTCGTAGATGAATGCTTCTGTTTGTTCTATACTGAATTAATAATTTTGTTTCTTGAAATTGCTGTGGTGGTTTTCTTCTCTGATCATTTACCTTTCTTCCTCTCAGCGACCATGATTGCGTCTGGCATTGTTTTCTGTCGTCATTACTGGAGGGATAGCCTTGTATGAATTATGCCAAAACTCAGGGGAGTTCACCACTCTTTTTTTTTTAATTGGGGAACAGTGTGTTTTTCCAGGACCCATCAGCCCCAAGTCAAGTAGTTGTTTCAATCTAATGGAGGGTGCATCTCAGTGGCCCATGTGGAGATTGAACCAGCAACCTTGGTGTAATGAGCACTGCACTCTAACCAACTGAGCTAACCAGCGGCCCCCATCACTCTTGAACTAGAAGAATTAGTGAGGCATCGAACTGCCCAGGGTCATCCTGAGAATTTCAAAACAGTGGCAGCAACTGCCAGCACCTGCCTATAATACTATATTAAACCTGTTATCTTTAGGCCTTTTAACCTCCAGAAAGTTCCTTGAGTATTGTTTAAATAGAAAGACACTCTGGCTTCTTTTGAAAAGTCACAATTTAGACCCCATCTGCTCCCTAGGATAAAGCAACTACCTTTTCTCCAGAGAAGGTGACATTTGATCTTAAAGGTTAGGTGTTGGGCAGAACCTTTTGAACAGAGAAAATAGTATGTGCCTAGGACAGAGGCATAAAGGGAAGAGCACAGCATTGAGCAGGGAACAGCTCCAAGTTCAGAAAAGCCATACAGCTTGGAAGAGAGGGGGTGGGGAAAGAACACTGTGAAATGCAGCTAGAGGCAGGTTTGGGTGAGATGGTGATGGATCCTGTTTTCCTGTTAAGAACTCTGGTCCAGAGGGCATATTTTCGGTTCACAATGAGGGCTCCTGGATGATGTTTCCCTTTATTTAGACGCCCCTCTGTGCTGAGTCAGCCTCACTTCTTAAATCCAACTGGGCCATTAGTGTTTCTTCCTATATAAGTTAAACTGATGCTGCTAGGTATTGATTTCTCACAGCAAGTGTTAGCGTTCCGTGTTTCACAGCACTAGAGGCTTGTTCTAATGGTATTCAAGGAGTGAAGATACAGTGAGGTTCAATGCCTAATATTTGCTTGGATCAAGGATGTTTTAAAAACTAATTAGAGAATTTTGATATCATTTCAACTAATTAGCTAAATGACTTTTCCATCCCTTCAATTATGTGTCACCAAACATATTCAGACATTTGCTTAGCTTTTTTTTTTAATGGTGTGCATGAAATGCCTTTGGCTTATGAAAGTGACATGGAACAAATATAATACAAAGTCCCTGTCCTCAGGGATTCTAGTTTCCAAAGAGAATTGGAGTATGACTCAGCATCCTTTCTAATGTGTCGGGGCAGGGGTGTCACTTCTCTTTCTATTTCAGTCAAGCAAATCACATTTTCCATTCTTCCGGAAAAGTGGATTTTATGAGGGACTTGAATATGAGGGGTCAGTGACTTGGTAGAATTTGGGAGACTAGACAGCCTCAACGGGACCGAAGAGAATGGAGACGAAGTCTCTTCCCACCAGCTATGTGCATGGCATTGTGGTTTCCAGGAGTTGTGTTCCTGATAGAGTGATAATGAACATACACAGACACAATAAATTAACTGTAGAGTGGGTAGAACTTGTAGGTGGAACCAGAGTAAAGAGAAGGGGGTGTGTGACAGTCTGCCTGGAAAAAAGTTCTGAATTTTGAAGGGGAGTAATAAATGAAAAATAAAGGAGATTGGATCTTCTGGGGAAGACTTGACATTTAAGGTTTTAGTTGCACTTGAGCCTATTAGACACTGGCTTTTAAAAAATCATCAAGATTGCCTGCAGTGGGGCGGCCGGTTAGCTCAGGTGGTTAGAGCGCAGGCTCATAACACCAAGGTTGCCGGTTTGATTCCCACATGGGCCAAGGAGCTGTGCCCTCCACAACTAGATTGAAACAACTACTTGATTTGGAGCTGATGGGCCCTGGAAAAACATACTGTTCCCTAACAAAACTGAAAAAAAAAAAAAAGATTGCCTGCGGTGCTTAAAAATACAGATACAGAGGCCCTGCCCCAGAGCTACTGAATCAGCTCTCCAGGGATATAACCCAAGAATCAGTACTTTTTATGAGTCTTCAGGGGATTTCAGCACTCTGCTATGGTGGGGACCAAAGAGGCAGGCGGTGTGCAATCTATAATAGAGATCGCAACAACATGACAATGCCTGTGCTTTTCCTTCTGCGGAGGGAGAGGGTGAGCAGGGAAGCACATTCAGGAGATTGTTGCTATGGGCCTTTTCTTCCCAAAGTGTGGTCCTTGAGCCAGCAGCATGGGTATCACCTGAGAGCTTGTTACAAATACAGACTCTCAGGCACCATCCCAGATTTCATGAATCTTAACCCACATATTAACAAGATTAAAGAGTGAGAGGTGCTAAAATAAGCATTAGGGAAATCTGGCAGGAAAAGTTAAGAAATTAGGGCAGGGGCTGGGGACAGATAGGAGTCTGGAATCTCCAGTTCAGGATGGCACCAGCAACTGGACCAACATGAAGCTGAATGAAGAACCACTGATTTGGGGCTTTTCGATATTCCTGATCATGGCTGGGAATTGTCCCAGACTACATGGCAGGTAAGCTGCTTTTGCCACAACACAGGGGCAAGAGTCCCATTCAAATGTAGGGAATATAAGCAAGGAAAAGCCCAACATGGTGAATTTTATTTTTAAGCTCGTGAGTCAGAGAATAAAGAGCAACAACAAGAGGGAAGCTGATCCGCTTTTAGGCATACTGAGTTCATTATATGAACAAGGGAAAAT